TTTTTTTCCAGTAGCTAGAGGATTGCCATAAAAGGGTGGACGGCACTTGGTTCGACTTTTTTGAAGATTCCAGTTCTCGGGGAAGAATCCCTGGCGCAATGTGGCTCGGAGGGGCCAGTCGCCGCGCGCGGCTCAGCGATGTAGTGTAACTCGAACATTCCAGCTTCTCACGGAACATTCCAGCTTCTCACGCATGCTAAGTGACTGCCCTCCCCCAACCCCCTGAATTGGCTACATTCCCCCTGGCTCACGAATTTCCTGTTGCCGCACGCGCCGCGCGCGGCGACTGGCCCCCTCCGAGGCACATTGCGCCGAATCCCTATTTTCGACGGAGGTTCAGAAACGTCTGCTGTATTTTTGTGTTGCGTGCATATGCTACAGCACGCCAATGTTTAGAAAGACACTGCGCTCCGCCTTTCTGGCAAGACGTGATTCTATTTTGGGTGCGCGGTCTATACGACGAGCATTTTGACTAATCCTGACGCAGAGCAAACCGGCTTACGGTGCGTCACAGCCCACCCAAATGCCACACAGGTATCGATGAGACCATATATTGCCTACTGGCTTCTAATCGCTGACTTACCTGCAGCGTATGGCTCGTGACCCGATCCGCCGCCAGCTATGAGTGTCACCATGCCCTTTGCGCAGTAATCAGAGTAGTCGGCTCGCAAAGCTACGCGGCGACAGTTCTATAATCGATAAAGTATGCGGTGGAGCATGCATCTCCAAAAAGTTTCCTCTAAATAGACTGATTACATGCTTCCCTTTGTACATCATAACCCTCAGACAGTCAGTATCGTGCCAATTTCAATTTCCGACATCCTTGAAGGAGCCTTCATACGACTCCTTCCATTGTCGGTGGTCTCGTTGAACCTACCGTAGGTTAGTATACCACCCAATGAAATCGGCGCTAGTCATATGGTCCGGAGGATGTCATGGTAGACTCTCATGGATTCAGCGGGGAAGCGTATTTGGTTTGATGCCTCATACTGCAGAAGTCTAGGATTTTTGATTGACGTTCTCCATATTAGCGCCAAATAGTACCAGCGCCAGAATAATGTTATGAATAATGAGATTGGTCCACCTCCCATCTCACTTTCACATTTGAGTGGAATTCACCATCAGTGTTATTTGCTCTTGCCTTGTAGAGCACCCGCATGAACCAAAATGGAAGAAAACTGTCGGTGACCCCTAAACAATGGTTCCCTTTGAAAGGAAGGCGGGGCTAGACGAGTTGTACGCACGTGCCTTGCTCCACAGCTCAACCAACAACTGTCTGCCTTATAAGAGAGATATTGGTTCCATGCTAGCGTAATAGAAACTCCTCCACGCGCCTGCAGTAAAATGGCTGCTAAAATATTCAGCTGCAAGGATAGGGAAACAACACCTTTAGGAGAATAGTTTTAAAACCGGCAGTAGCTAATATCTGGGCACTGTTGCCCACCCATAGCCCTTTAGGAAGCGTTCTAGGTCACGATTTGGGATATTCGGCAAACCAGCTGAATGGAGTGTACGTACGCAGGATTGCTGAATCGTCGAATTGTCTATAACCAGTGAGATCGCTCACAGGAGATGTGGATTTGGTCCTCCCGTTTAGGATTTTGGATTGGGTAGTCGAAAGAAGTTGTTGGTACAAAAACAAAAAATGATAAAGGTGCACTGAAGAAAACCCTGTCATAACCACTAACCATAAGGGCACTTATGTAAAACGCAGTAACAGTAATTCAAAGTTGTAAGCTGTTAGCTAACCTTGTCAAAAGTGATGTGTTCTGATCCATTCACCAAGCCATTGAGGGCGTCATCGACAGCGTCCACAGGATCATTGACGAATTTCTTCGTGACAGTGGACATTTTGTGCCGTAGGACGAGTATTCGAGATGGACTGCGGCTCGACGCGGTATAAATGGATCGACCTAGTGCTAGCAACGTGGAGAGTTTCAACATTAATAAATAAGGTGGATAGCGATTTGAAAACAACGCGAACAGCGCTGTTCATTATCCATTTGATAGGTGTCTCAGGTTTCTGAACGAGACTCGATCAATACAGAGTACACGTGCGGCGCACTAGAGCGATACAACAGAGCTTCCTTGTAAACCAATGAATAGTTTGGTATATTCTTTAAAAACAAAATTCCTCTAAAATATGGTTGTTGTTCATGATGGGACACAGTTCTGGAAAACCGAGTTTGGTAGGAATAGGAGGAGACGGGCTGTAGACAAAGAATAAATCGATGAGATTTCATTATTTGGATCATTTGGTGAAAGGTTGCCTTAACAGCAGTATGCGCGTGTAACCAAATATTCCGGAAGCATCTATGAAGAAGCCCCAGCTCAATATCACTGAGAGCTTCAAGTACAGGATAAGTGGTCGCATCAGCTGGTTAAGCCGGCCCCTACTTTCTGTGTTCTGTTGAAAAGTACTACCTATGACGTTAAGTAGTCCTTAATTCCATGCATTTTATCAGTAAGCCTTAACTTGCACTATCACCTTTCACACTTTGAACCATTTCTTATCAGCACACATACTGTCAAACACTTTTTATAATTGAGTCATGCCTTCTTAGACTATTGACACGTTGACGACAGCGTGCAGCGCATACGCTTCATACCCAAACATGCAGCGCAAGCGCTACTTCTTCTCTGATTTTTTATGCTTATTCTATAGGTCACGTCACAAACGACCATAAACTGTGTGATTGATCGAATGGAATTAATAGTCTTTACTTCAAAGGCATACCCACGGTCAAATTAGTGTGGTTTATTGCGCACGAATATTAATGCACTGATGCATAATGGGCTGGCAGTAAAGAACAAAGGAGAAGAATCTGTCGAAAACTCGTAGATTAAGAGCTTACCCACCTTTGCAGTAGGCTTTGCTGCGGCAATGAGAGACTAAGTGCGGAGAGGAGAGTATGAGGCGAGAGAGCGCAACAAATGAGAGGATGCCAAGCACAGCCTGCGGTAAAGAGAAAAATTGCAGTAGTGCAGCTTTTGCAAGGCCCTAGTCCTTTTTTCGGGTAACTTGCTTGTACAGGAATGGCATATCCGTGACTGCCCTCTTAACCAGAACTTCCTATGGAACTTTGGAAGGAGGCCTAGATGTATCTAGAATCCTTAACGCTAAACCCAAATATATGGACACAATGAAACTGCTATGTGAACTTCCTAGAAAGTTATGAGCCTTCAAAGTTAGCAAAAAAAAACATCACTGAGGCAATCTTACCTGGTGGTAGAGTCGCCAATGGCTCTGCGCCAAAAACGAGTCATTTCCGTAATCAAGACCTCATACAGTGTGTTTCGAAGGTATGTGGATACCTCCAAATCCACGATGAAAAGGTAACCAAGAGGCTTCGTGCTACGAAACCCTCCTCAATCGATTCCTCGTAGTCGATAACGTATCAGTGTAAGTTAAGAAGATAATATCGCCTCACTTTCGTAAAAAATTTTGGATTGAATTTTTTCTTTGTTTAAAAGTATGTAGACACTTAGAAGGAGATCTGATTTGGCGCCGAAGTTTCAACCTGTTTCGATCAAATTCGCTGTTTTCATTTCGTCATCAAGCCTGTTTTTGGCACACTCTTCCTGAAGATGAACAAGCCCAGATCAAGGCTCTCCATGATACTGAAAGACTCCAATCCTAAAAATCGCACGATAACTTGGTCGTTCTCCTTAATGCATTCGAAGATTTATCTGGCACCCTGATAATTATACTCAGCACACACTCCGCTCCATCCACGATCCTTGACTGCTCAGAACAACAAA